TTCCTGTGGTTAATTAGGCGCCCTAAGTGATRCWWTTTTTAACTCTTATCGTAAAACTTTATTTGTTGTTTATCTGTTTTATTAAGAGATTTTCATAGAACTTTGCATTCGCTAAAATTTTGTTTTTGTACATACTAAAAAGGAATGATTTCAGCAAAACAAAAAGAATTGTAGCAATTMAAAATTTGATTGGCACTTATGAGTAATTGATTTCCTTTATGCCCGCGCGAACGGCCGCCGAACTGCGTTTTAGAAAATTTGTTTAGAACACTGGGTTTACAACTGGGGTTACAACACTGGTTAGTTCAAAGCCCGATAAGGGTTAACTCTYAGAAAAYCTATGTTTAACCCTGGATTAACGCAAATCGGGCTTTGAACAACCCGGCCCAGTACTATCGACTAYCTACTAGTACTATTGGCCATCGTTCCGACTTTTCCGTGCCTCGACAAAGCTTTTGTCACTCTGCATCTTGAATTTGAGCCTCTCCTCCAGTCAAAACCAAGGTTTGCACGATGATTTGGACAAATTTTCATGTCAGTGACTTTTGACGTGATTTAMAGAGGGATGCGCGACTAAGAGTAAGTTTGATTTTGTTTTCAGGACCCAGGGGGAGGGGGGGGGGAGTGGGAGGAGGGTACTCCCCCCAAACATGGGTGGGGGTGTGTCGCTGGGACGTCAAAACCCTGATTCTGTTCCAGAGTGAATTCGCTGAAAACTATACCCTGTTCCAGAGTGAAATCGTTGAAAACGATATCCTGTTCCAGAGAAAATCCAGCACTAGCCTGCGTGTAGACCGAATTTTTACCCCGTGAATTTTTACCCTGCATCAATAATTCCGGAATCAAACCCTAACCCTGTTCCAGAGAAAATTCGTTCGTTGAAATCTATACCCTGTTCCAAAGTAAAATCACTAAAAACGATACCCTGGTTGGCGGCATGTCCCCGTATTGCGAATATAGGGGAGTACCACCCCCCTCCTCTTAATAAAACAGAAAAATAGCATCACTTAGGGCGCCTAATTAACCACAGGAAGCCCAACAGAAGATCAAGTATGGCATGATTAAAAGTGGTTGGAACGTCTCAAAACACAAAAATTCTCGAGATAAACACAAGGTAAATGTTTAGTTTAGTTCATGCTTGCTCTTTGGTATGAAACACAACATATAGCGATCTATTTTGTTGACGTGTTTATCAACTTGTTGGTTTCACACNGGGTGATATTTTTATCTTATAAATGTTTTAAGCATTAAACATTGCTGCATTAACCAAACGAGGCCATCAGTTTATCGCCATTTCATAGCTCGAAAATTAGCATATTTACATCGTTCCACGAAACTTCAATTTACTCATAAATGAAACGTTATTTTCAAAAACCAAATACATGGTTGTTTATCTTATATGATAGGGTACCTAAGTTAAGAGTATCAGCGAAATCGATTTTTCAAGAGTTGGCACGTTATGTTTGATTTTTACTGACATCCGCTCTTAAATTATTTGCATACGAATTTAGTTAGTTTGGACTTATATAGTCTGTTAGAAGGTGTCAATAGTTAACTGACTTTGGGCTTAAACATTTAGTAGTTAACTGACTTTTTGGCCAAAAAATAATAGTTAACTGACTAATGAGAATTGTATATTTAACTGAATTTCTTACTAAAGATTTAAATCAGGCGCGTAGAGTCCGTGAGGCATGTACAAGTGCGTACTAGTGGGAAGGAAATATTAAAATTTTCGGGATTTGATGCCTGTTATATGCTCTCGATGCCCGTCAAAACGCTGGAAATCGCATTTCCAAGAGATATTATTCCAAAATTTACTTGTGGAGGATCGATGATTTCGTCGATAAACAGGAAAATGTTAATACAAAACGAAAAAACAACGTACGACATCCAACTATTCACCGAGTTTATTCAAGCAGTGAGCCCCGAGATACTCAGTTCAAGTTCAATTCATGAATTTTCAACCACAGTTCTGAATGACCTATTGTCAAAATTCATCTACGGATCGAGACAACAATGTACCGCCTACTCAGATCATGCAAATCACGGGGCACCGCAATGCCAACTCGGTGAACAAGACAATCATCAAGAGAACATATCAAACATTTTGGCATTTAGAGGTCCTACATAGTGCCCAAAGTTCATGCACAACAACAACAACAAAACAAGTTGCTGCCGAGTCGACAGAAGAATATCGTGTCAGTCATAAGGCCGAACAGCAAGSAGCCTCTTCGGCTTTTGGTTCTCTAATTTCTGTGACGATCAGAGGAGGAACATTCAATATTAATGTAAACTTGCAGCAGAAATGTCCTGTAAAACGAGAAAGCACTATGGAATGTAGAAAGTGGAACGTATACGCGTTGTAGAAAGCAGCGACGAAAGCCAAGAGTGACGGGGTAAAAATGACAAACTTTATAAGTTTATTTCAAAACTTGTATTTTGTGCCTGAATCTAGCTTTTAATTTTGACTCGCTACGCTCACTCGTGGGATATCAGTTCAACACTCGAAGATAAAATCCATATCTCCGCGCGCCCACGTAATATCCTCTATATATCTTATATATTACGTGTAAAGCTCCAGATGATATAATTGCTGAATTCCCTAACGCTGGGTTGAATAAACACGTGGGATAATGCCAACAATATGTCATGTCCATCGGGTGTTGTGACATATCAGCAAAAATATATGAACACCTGTTTCAAAAAATTGTTTGTCAAATATTTTTAAGAAGCTAGATTTTCCACAAACACATGCTTCGATTCATCGAAAACAAGGGCACTCACAAGTGGCCTAATATCCTAGTTATGTTGCTATAGACCTCCTTTAGTTTATCTTGATAGTGCTCTTGAGCAACGAAAGTGACAATATCAATACAAGCCCACAGATTTTTAATATTGCAATATAGAAAAAGAATAGCAATGAAACGTTGACGGAAATGTTCCCTACTAAGACTGAATTTATTGCCCGGCAAAATATGTATATCCAAAATCGTAATCAATTTCTTCTCCATATTGCCTTTATAGGCACTCCACTAGTTAAAAAAAAAACCTTAATATCGCTGTACCATGATAATGCTTATTTCATCTATGACATGTATGTAAATACTCACAGTGGAGAACTATAGTCTACGTTTAAGTAATGGTAACATTTATATGAATTTGGCACTGTTATCGACAAAGAATATTCTCTGAATTAAGCAAGCAAATTATCATTTCAAAAAGTAATCTCAAATAAGAAGGCAAAATAAAATTACATTTGTGTGATACGTAAAACATAAAAATGTATTTATATGTCAAACATACGCGTGCTGGAAATTTACTTACATTTTGTGACAAGAATGTTGTAGTGAAATTTTTGTAACTGCAAGGCTTCCCTTTCCAATTACAAAATGCAATCATATCTTTAGCCGTGTGCCCATACTTGAGGACTGCTTCTTTGAGGTTGAATGAACTGTTCAAGGTTTTATGTTTAACTTTATCGGCTTTGAATGGATCAAGTTTATCCAAGTAGAGCTGTGCATCTGTTCCGCTTATCTTGGATCTGACAATATGTATATATCATTCAAAATCAAGGCAATAAGTATCTCATAGCACGTTGTCGAAAGAATGCTATTCCTGCGAGGGAGACACTTGGGTAGAAGAAAAACTCAGAAGAACATGACAAGAAGAACATGACAAGAAGAACAAGAAGAACAAGAAGAACAAGAAGAACAAGAAGAACAAGAAGAACAAGAAGAACAAGAAGAACAAGAAGAACAAGAAGAACAAGAAGAACAAGAAGATTAAGTTAAGCAAGCTTTAGGGCAGCAACAAAATAACAATAAAGCTACCTTTTCATCATGTTAATATTACACAATGTAAATGCTGGAAAAGTCAGTTTGTCAGATGGAACAACAATTTGGTCCACAACGTGTATATGTGCATGCAACTTCTCAAAACTTGAAACCAACTGTTTAACAAGTGCCCCAACACAGGTTAGAATCAAGCACAGCCATATAAGCCGTCGAACTGGAGCGTAAACCCTTGTAATTACAAAATGAAATCCATGGAGAGTAGTGTACCCAGCAAAATCTTCAACTAGCTGAGATGACTGTTTTGTATCCTTTGATAATTCAGACATAATTGCTTTTTCAGCGCTTGTAAAAAAAAAAAAACAAATAAACTTTCAGTTTAAAGTTGACCTTGTGTCAAGCTTGGTCTACTAGAATTGTAAATTAAAGTTAAAATTACAATCTTGGCTTTAATACTTGATCTGATTTAAACTGCTAATCTCTTTTGGACCCAAGTCAAATGTTTTCTTCAAAGTTCCACTGATTCTTTGTCATAATGAGGTTTCAAATTTTTAGCCGTCCTTCACACAAAAAAACCTACAATTATGTAACCATTGTGAATCCGCTCGTTATTATTCTAATTTAATAGATTGAAGTATAGGGATTTCTTTGGTTGTTTTTTCAATGCGCCACCGGTCACGGCTGTCATAGTAATGTACTTCATTTTAAATTACAGGATGCGTTGAGCGTTTAATATTTCATTTGTTTTTGTTGTTTTTTTTTTCGCATATATCAGTCTCCTTTTATCAACGTACATTCATGTGCATTTAATAGAGTATAAACGCATTTATTCCATGAAATTTTTACAAAATCAGCAGCACCGACAAAGCACATTTGCTCTAAATCTGCAACTGAAGTGAAACATTTTTTTCAATTACCATTGTTCTTATGAATATCATTTTCTAAACTGAACAAAACAGTGCAAGAAAGGTTTACACAATTTGACGGAGTAAGTTAACTTATTTCTATATAGACCCCATGAAGCTCATGGGATGCTACTCCAACGGGCATACACTGGACACTAGTTACCAAGAAGAAGAAGAAAATTTATTTGTCCAGATGAGGCTGCATTTGACTTAACATGCAAGGGGATCGATAGGGGGGCTTTTGTTGAGTCCAACTTCGTGCTGTTCGATAGGTTTTCTAGACAGATGAAAATTTTATTAAAGCTTAGAAAAAGAATTTTTTAGCTGTAGAAACCGTTCCGTAGTTTGCTCTTACTCTCCTGCATATCTAGCTTTTAATATTAGGATATATAGGTAAATCATATGATAAATTAGGATATTACATTGCTTATGAGGGAATCATTACATAGTTAAAAACAAACTACTTGAAATTTGGCACATCGACCAATGTTTATGGGTGTTGGAATGTTGTTCATTGCAACCAGATGAATATATAATATCCCGCATGCCTGGAACACTGAAAAGGATGACAATCTATTGCAAAGGGGCTAGGGTGTCTTCCATCTTGAGCCTCTTTATAAGTCTTGATTATAGTTCTCGCAAATACATTCTTTTTTAACTATATTATTTAATAGTACAGTACTACGTCTTGAGATTAATCACAACATGTAAGGTTGTCTACAATAGAAGTACTACGGTACAAGGAACATTAAAAGCTTTTTAGGCCTAGTTCAATTTGGCAGCCAGAGGAATCTTTTGATGTATCCACATATTATTCCTAACTGTGCAATCTTGCACAGGTACCTATAGATCTAGACAGGATTAATGAGTGGTTATATTAATGTTTTGAAAACAGGATATTTCAAGGTGACGGCAGTTGGAAATTATCTGCAGCTTCTACATTTCTATCTGAAGGTTGCTTGATTCTATTCCTTGTTCTCCATTTTTTACAACAATATACAATAAAAAGGTCAAGGAACTCCACGAGTGTCAGCAAACTGCATCCAAGAAACAAACCAAGATTGCCACCAACATCAGCTGGAATTAGAAAAAAACGAAAGCATTCAACGTTTCGTATTTGGAAACTGCACATTTGTACGTTCAAATCTCCTTGACCAATATCAGTGCAGTAGCATTCAACAAAATTACTCAACATGATCTCTCTCAAAAAGTACATTGCAAAATTAGTTGAAATGGAATGCTAATTATTTTTTTCTATCCAGCAGGCAGGAAAATTAATTGTCGGGCCAAACATTTCTTGGTTCAAGGTGTGTTGCACGAAGTAGTTAAACGGCCGACTTTTGCAACAAAGCTTTCTGATGTTGGTACTATTACCACTACCCAACTAGACCATAGCAGCAACATGCTTCGCACAGCAAGGTACACTGCGTTCTACTTCGTGCAACAAACCTTTTCAAATTTGTCATCCATAAGTGTGCCATTGAATAACAGAAGATATCGGTAAGCCAATTAAACTTACATCCAAAATCGCTGATATCGTAGAACGGTTTTTCGATGCTGACGTCTGTCATCAGATCATCCAGGTAGGCAGTTACCATCATAAACCGTGCCCTATACAAAAAGAAGCCCATTATTCAATCAACACCATTATTTAATTAAGGATCCATTTTCAATCTGTGGTGAATCCAAGAGGGTTGATTTCTTTGAATAAAGGCAGTGCTCACACTTGGTGTGGTCCATGCACCCGCACAAAAAGGTATCATGGTCAATACGCCTTCACAACGGAACTCAGCGACCGGTTCAGTCTACTCAACCAAGGTCTGGACTTCAGCAAAAATACAATGCCCAGACCAATGCACCGACCTTGTCGCCGTGGTCTGTCACTAAGTGAAATCTTGCGAAAAAATCCTTTTGTCAACAAATGCTTTGGGCTAGTCAAATCACTTCATTAWGTGTTGTTTCAGAAGTCTAAGCTAGTCTAGGAATTCCTAGAAAAGGTTTGCATTAAAGAATTGGAACCATTTGAAAACTTAAAAGGTGTTTTAACACTTAAAAGTCCTAGAAAATCCTAGGAATTCCTAGTATACTAGGACCTCATTTCTGAGAGGTACTGTCTGAGATGACATATTATATAAATAACTAAAATGACGTTTTCCATTTTCTTCCAGTGTTTGCTATACTCTGGTTTGGTATCGATATTCTGTTTTTCGCAAACATGAAAACATATAGTACGAACAATTCAGAACATTTTGCAAATAAAATACCCTTTCCAAAATGATCTAAATCGTCAACTATCAATTCTACATCTACGAAAGAATATTATGCATGGTCTTATTAATTCACATTTGTTTGATGCTATTTCCTCGTAAATTTGGAATTTTGGAATATTGATATTCTGATTGGTTGTTGCTCACTGCGAATAGCATCTGGAGACTCCTTTTTTATCTGGACTGCACTGACTACATATCAGACGCGTCGTTTCCCATGACCAAAGACTCACCTAATTTCCGATAAAGCAAGGTTTAGGGTTTGAGTGTCATTAGCATACATCTCCATGAACGACGTGGAGGGAAAGTATGCTAAGCTCTGAACAGTGCTGTATGCTGTTTCTTCGCATGCGATGGGACAGCCACAGTTGTTCGATCTTACTTGCCCCAATATATCTATGTACAAAATATTGCACAATTAAAGGTCAAACATTTATATAAGTACAATAATCGTGAAAATATTAGACAAACGAGTCAATGTATAAATTGCAGTTTTGACTCAAAGAAAACAAGTCTATATATAAAGAAAGCAGTGAGAATCTTAAATTAGACCATTTGTAATTATTAATGTACTTGCGACGATTAATGATTCTATAGAGCTAAGAAGATTGCAAAATAGATATATTGTTGTTCTATATATTTATAATCTTAATTCTTTGGAATCTGAAAGAGAATTTGATAGAATAGTCCTAAGAGCGTACCTACTAACGTTGAGTTTTTTTGCAATTCATCCGGCCTACAATATTCTGTGTGTTTAAATTCTAAAACAAAAAATATGCATAAGAATCAAAAAGTAGCATGTTTACATGATTCTTTTTATAATCATCATCTAGCTTATGTTTCCACGATGGCACTGAAGGACTCCACAGCCATCCTCGGGGACATCCTCTATTAGCTGCCACGGCCCGTGCATCGTCCCATGAGCGCCAAACTGCTCCCCCCTGACCGACAACCTGGCATGTGCCAGGTCACCGCTATCCCGATAATTCCTTGTAACTATCTCATGAATAACAATAGCCGGGGAAGAATATTACACTGTTACGTGCTCTCTTTTGTGTTTGGTCAGGTCTTTGCGCAAGATAATCTGTTGTCAAATAAGTCAGCGGCTTTTGCTATGAATTTGAAACTGGAGCATTTTACCTGGCAAATTAGGCATGTCGAGAAGTCTACAGCCATTTGATTTAATCATAGCACGCGTAAAGCATTCAAACATGCATCTTCTTTGAGTGTATACATTGGACGTGACGAGTTTTTTACTCCCGCAGGCTGACCTGAAAGGTGGTGGTAGACGATGGAACTGATAAAAAAAGACAGTCATTGTTTCTTAGGATGAAGAAGTGAGTACAGCACAAACACTTAGATAACGAAACCTAATGAAAAATAAATTAATGACTATAAAAATGTAAAATAAATAAATGGAGTATAATAGAGTACGGAATCTATTATTATGATCATATCTGCAAAATAGAAGAATTCATAAAACTATCTTCAAAAGAAAAACAAAAAAAAAATACGAGAAAATTGGAAACAAATATATCAACGTATTATTTTGACATGGAAGGCAAGCAAGGTTAAATTTAAAAAAAATAAATAAAATGTCCAAAGGAAATAAAAATTATCAGAACAGAAAAACGACGAAAAGCGACCATATATGCTGTTGTGTTATCATCAATATTGCTATTTACCATTTTGCGTTTTATTTTGATTGTAGTTGTGAAACCTGGCATTACGTCATTTCCAACATTCTCCACCCTTGGATATTCAGTCTGATGCTGGACGACTACTTTAATCCCAGTTGACCGGTAGCTTTCGTAGCCATAATATTYCTGGTTTTCAATGTCGACCAATAAGTTAAGACCAAGATCTTCTTGGTTTGATGTTGAAGAAACCAGTTGTTCCCCGTTGACTCCTAAGTTGAATGTGTGACACAGGCCAAACTGTGAAAGGTATATTACATATAGGATATTACACGATGGCGCGAAGATATGAATTGTATATATTTTCGAGTGGCGAAAACATTATTTTACAAATGAGCGCGGCGAACGAGTAAAATGTTGTTTTATACACGAGAAAATATATAAAATTCATATTTTCAAGCCAACGTGCAATGTTCTTTTTATTATATGGACAAGCTAAAGCGACAAGTAGAAATGAGCGGGAAAGTTGCTTGCATTTGACGCGCGCGTACATCCGGGACATTTTGGTACATAACGTTTTCATATCTTCACTAAATATGGAAAATGCAAGAGTCTTAATTTCCTAGACACGGCATGTGGGATTATGCCAACAATGTGTCACATACATGGTGGACGTGCCATAATCGTGCTTTAAAACATTGTTCTGCTTGTGCTTGTATGTCGAATAAATCATTGGGCAAACATCAAATGTTTAACGTATTCAATGTTTTAGGTAATGCTGATATGGATGGCATGTAAAATTGTATTTGACAGTGATCTCAGTCTTCTCAAAAATTAAATAACGATGACTCATTCAAAACAAATCCAGAACACTTCTATATTACTAAATAAAGGGGAATAATTGGAATTATATGAGGATATGCCATAAGCAGCTTTAATTGGTAGGAGCTTAATATATTGCTTGAATATTCTACAAAGAATCTCATACCTCAATTTTAAAGTCGTGCGTTGATTGGTCAACACGTCAACCGGATGAGAGGGTATTTCAAGTGGAATTCAACGGTGAGAAACCTGAATTCAACGCTGAGAAACCTGAATTCAACGCCCCGATAAGCTACCTTAAAAACACTTGCGTTATTTCAACAATTTACTCACAAAATCCGTGTAAAACCCTGGCAAAAGTTATTATCTAATTGTTTTAGTTCCCAACAACTTGTCTATTCACTTTCTCTAGATTTCAAGAAGCAAAATATTTTTATTTTTTGCAAATTAAGTAGCAAAAACAAAAACACATTTAAGTTAGTTAAGTTTAACTCGATAAAAGCAACGTTTTCAAACGAAAAAATACCCCAAAACTCATAAATATAACGTCACAATTAATTATTAAAATACTATTTATTAAATACCTGCATGGTAGTGTAATACATTTTAAAGTTTGTCAAGATCAGTTCATCTACGTAAACAAAAATTGAGCGGCCTTCGCCGTTTCTTGCACGCCGTTTCTTGCAGAAAACTAAAGCTGTTTCGCTTGTCATTTTTTCTTGAATATTCCATGCCAGAACAAGTTATGGGATGAATTTATGAAATGTTTCTGTGTTTGAGTTTTTCAGCTACTTTTTGATTGAGAATGTCTACTACTAGTACGCTTTCTTTCACAAGTAAACATGAAGTAGGTTTTGAAGTCTGCTTGGCAAGTCAGGGCTACTACTGACTTCGACGAGTTTCGTTCGTCCAAATAAGACTCAAAATATGACTTTAAACTTGTTTTCAATTTTTCAGTAACAACCTTTCGAAGTCTTTTCTTCATAGATGATATTTCTAATCGAGATAAGAATGGAAAACTGTAGAAATCTTAGGATTTGTGGCCCTGGTCTGTCTGCAAGTTTGCCGTCCGCCGATGATCGTTGCAAACTCGCTCTGAAAAACCGGTTTGAGCTTGTCAGTAAAAATACTGAAAAGCCATTCGAGTGCTAAAAATTTGTTTGTTTTAGTTATTAAAAAGTAATATTTCTTTAGCTAAAATGAAAAAAAAAAAAAC